TTAGAGTCGGCATTCTTGATAGTTCCTTGCGTTTTGAATAATCTTTCATCGTGGTATATCGAGTAAATAATACAGTGGTCGATTGAATTAACCTGAAACGCGAAAATGTTGGATATATGGATTATAAATTGATGTAAAAGATGGTCACACATTGAGTCGCATACATAAGAAAAGGCATTAGATTTTGGCAGAGATTTTCTAGCTACTTATTTCTATATGTACAAAGAATCAAGAGTTTCTTGAATTTTTTGGTGAATACTTAAACTTCATGTGTATATATTATTTACTACGCATCAAATTAATGGTACTTTAATTTCAATAATAGTAATCGGTTGTTTTAATGTCTGCTGATTTTTAATTAGTTGGAATATAATACATTAATAGTATAAGAAATCTGGCATTTACTTTTATTCGTAGTTAATGTTTATAAGTATTCACCTTCGTTTTTATGTGTACGTTATTTATTGATAATTACTGAATAATTTATTGAAGATTAATATTCAATGCCTAAAGATTTGTTAATTAAACTTCCAATACTAATTGCAATTACAATCTTAAATCAGCAAATTATATTGAATAACATATCCTAATTATTATTTGTGAACTAGTGCTCGTAGAAATTTATTAGACTACCTTTTAGTGTTATTGAGAATCACATTAATTGTTACCCAATAGTTAAAGTGTTAAGAGGATAGAAAATATATAAAAGATTTTAAAAGGGGAAAAGGGAGAAAAAAGATGTTAGATATAATTTTGAGCATATGTAAATTCATTATGGCAAGAACTTTCTTTTTCTTTTTCTTGAGTTTTACGCACTTATGATAGTTACTTATATATTTCTTTACTCGCGATGCACGTTGGGAAGATTCAGTCATTTCTGTGTTACAATCAAAGAACTTTCGAAAGAATTAAGGTAGATCGATGAATTTCTGTTGAAATTAATGTTAAAATATTGCAGAACAGAGGAAAATTACGCAATTATCATAATGAATGAATTTTGAATTAATTAAACAGCTTTTGAGGTTACTTAAAATTCTTACAAGAAGAAACTAGTTTCTACTCAACACTTGTTTCTTTACACTCATTTGGATGATATTCATTTTACATAACCATCCGCTATTTAAATAACTGTAATTTTTACAGAATTACTTTTATCATTTATTTCGTTTATCTATTCGTCTTCAAACATGATAATTGAAAAATAACAATTTTCTGTTTAGTGAATTGTTTAAGATCGACGTCTACGAATAGAAATTTCAGATTATAAATTAAGAGAAATTCGAAATTGATCGATTTCACAGCGAGATTTGGGAAAATGATTTAGTTGACCTTTCTTCGTACCTTTTCAACAAGATTATCAAAATGATCGACAATTAAGGTATTTCTAATTATAAATTCTGTTCAAAATGTGGTAAAACAATATTTGTCGATGAAAGAAAGTTTCTTTAAAATTCTGGGAATTAATCAAGAGAAATTCGAAGTTAATCAATCTCACGATGAGATGCACAAAGTAATTTAACTGATGTCCATTTTTAACGAGATCCTCAAAAATATGGGCAATTACAACACTCCTAATTAGAAATTCACTTAAAAATTCGTTCGGTGCACAATGAATCAACTAAAAGAGGTTTAAAACGATCCAATGTCGCAACAAAATTAGCAAACAAGATTCAATTAATTCTTTTTCCTTTCATTTTCATCAAAATTCTTACTAAAATGAACAATTGCAATTAAAAATTTACTTCAAAAAATGGTAAAAAAAACATATCTACCAACAAAATTCAGAGAGTTAATTGAAAGAAATATGAAATTATTCAATCTCACAACAAAATTTGCAAACAACATTCAATGAATTCTTCCTCCTTCCATTGTCATCGAAATTCTCAACGAAAACAATTAGAAGTTCATTTAAAAAAATGGTGCAAAAAATGTTTACCAGCAAAATTCGAGGGGTTAATTAAAAGAAGCGTCGTTAGCGAGCCTCGCTTTCCTCCTGCGGTTCCCGCGGTTTTTAATTCGAGGCAGGCATCAAGTGGCGCGATCGCGTTCGCGCGGTCAAAAAGAAGATCGCCGTCAATGCCCGAATTCGTGACGGAACGCTGGATTCCTCGTCCTGGATCATAATTCATCCGTTTACGGCAAAAGTGGCGCGGCGAAATGACGCGGCCCGTTTCTCTGTTCCCGTCGAAAATCCGCGCCAGTGACTTGCTTTCGGTTCCCGGCCGCGCTTTCTCGGTTTTCGGGGAGGTCGGGCAAAAATCTTGCGTTTCCCCGGTTTCTTTACCAATCTGTCCCCACGCCGCGACCGTTTCGGCCACGTCGATCGCGTTCGAAGGAAAATGTATCGCTGCTCGGCACTGACAGCGACGAAAAAGTGGAAAGTTTTCATTTAAAAAGGAAATAAAGGAAATGAGATTTGAGATTTATATTTTTGGAAGTACCTACGTATTAATGGTATTAACAGTTAGTAATATTAATAATAAATATATATAACTATGACAGAATCATGAATATTACGAGTATATCATTTGGCAAGATGAAAATGGAGATGTGGTATAAAGCTTGTGTTTCGTGAATGAAAATTTGAGATTTTTTTTATGCTGATTGTTCGTTTGGTTCATTTGCTTACTGTCAGCGCTGAACAGCGATATCTCGTTCCTCCCGGTCCGAGATGAACTCCGCCGCAGTCTATACAGGAATCTTTTCCAGTAAAAATGGCCACCGATCGGTGGCGCAGATTCCGAGGAGGATGCAGCTCGAAGGACGAGACGCGGATTTCACGACTCGTAAAATGTCGAATCCGAGAATAAAGAAATAGATCCTTCCCTGCCTGTCCGTGCTCCTCGCCGAGTGTTTTCAGACCGAAATTAGTTAGGAAACTTCTATTAATTTTGAGAGTTAGTTTTCTATGCTAATACAATTGAATTTGTTTGTATTCTAATGGGTATTCGATTGGTCGGAGAATATAAAACAAGTTTGTAGGTATTATAATACCCGATGGAATAGAAATTCGACGCCTTTTTCAAGTGAATTACTAAGAATCGCTGAAACTATGGCAAAATCAAGTGTGCAATTAACTCACGAAGCTGTTTTTGATGAATTTATAGGTATGCTTAGAATTATCAAAATTTTTATTTACAAATTTTCCTAAATACATTTTCTAGATTTGCTTATAAACTCCTTGCCTCATGATATCGCGACGAAACTTTCAAATATAGTTTAACAATTACAAATGTCATTCAATTATCTCGTGTTCAAATAAAATACTATTCTTCTCTCACTTTACTTCTCTCGTTTTCTAGCGAATTATTGATAACACAATAGTCATAACAATAATTCGTAAAAGGAATCATGGGGGAAGGTGTTAAACTTAATATAATTCAACAGCTGATGTCACCTACTAGAAACCAACAACCAGAACCTAATATTTGAAGATTAGATCCGAACAGAAGATCCAATACAACCTAGTATAATTAACTAACAACTGAAAATCCAATAAAACCCAATACAATTAGCAAGCAATTAAAACCAACGTATAAAAGATTCACAAAGTGTAGTATTAAAAAACCGGGTCCGAACAGACCCGACCATCGGAAATACAATCAGCTAACAACGAAAATTAGGCTACAAAGAATGAACAAAGTGTGGTATTTAAAAACCTGGTCCGAGCAGACCCGGCCACCGGTGGGTTAAAAATTCCCCGATTGTTTAAACGAGAGAAAGGCGACGAGTTTCTGTCCACGCCCGACGAGAACGAGAAGGATGGTCTGAAAATTTCGGCTCGTTATCCTGTTGGTGGAGGGTAGACTAACGATACGCCAGGTCTTCTCTTCTCCCCACCCCCCATTCTGTCTCCCCGACTATCTCTGAAAACTTGTCCTCGCTGTTTAACTAACGAGCCGCTATCGGACGATCGTGTTCGATCCACGAGTCCTTCGAACGGCCCACGGTCCTAAAGAGACTCTGCTTTTGCTCTGGTAATCGCTTGGTATGGTATGTCTGCAACTGCATGCGAACTGAGTTTCCTCTCACCGAACTTTGTAAATGTGTACCGATCGTCGCGGACGCGCCGGCTCCTCTTTTATTCGTTTCACGCATCTACCAGTTCAAACGGCTTGAAAGAATTTAAATGCGAACCAATTGGGAACTTACATTTGTTTTTGTAAGTGTTGTTTCTTTATGTCGGAGATTTATCAAGAGTTTTATATTATTCGCAGAAGAGCCGACGCGGCAGCGATTTTTCCGCTAGGAGCACTGAATCGACCGGAAATCCTCTGACGGGTTTAAGTGGGTTAAGAATACGCAGGGAGTCTTGTGAATTATAATCACTCCCAAATGAAGGGATGATTCTATAGAAAAATAGAGAGAAATTGGGAGGAGAGAATAAAATTTGGTTGACGAGAAAATAATGGAGAAACCAACGTTCTCTGTGATTACATCGAACAACACTATTTCTACTGAGTCCGACGAAAGATACTTTTCAAAATTCTTACACTTATTTTCTACATTTCATCTTCCTCGACCTTTTCTATAATTAATTTTATAATTATTATAGAAACACTAGGAAAGTCAATGAAAAACGTTGAAATTCAGAAAATAAAATGATTCTTAAAATTTTGAAACGTACTTTTGCACGACCAGTAAGAATATTCAAAATCGAGTTTTAAAAATCGTTTTGAAAATAACCATATCAATAATTCCATTGCTACAAATCATTTTGAACATGATAATGAATGTGGTTTAATTGTTGAATATAGGGAATATTGAAATAATCGAGTATTCGAATGTTTTCAATTTTCTCGCGGAACAAGGTCACACAACTTTTATTTCTCTGTTTCGACCAGTTTCCCGGTTAGCCAGTTTATTGGGGATTTGTCTGGCTTCGAAGGGGGATTCGGGGCGGTTCGGTGGTCCAATAGGAGCGTAGCTTTCTGCTCTCGAACCAGCTCGACGAGTCCGCTAACGAAATCTGTTTTGTTTCCCCGATACGATTCCGATAGAGGGCCGCGAGTGTGTGAACTGCGGCGCGACCTCGACGCCGCTCTGGAGACGGGACGGGACCGGACATTATCTCTGCAACGCCTGCGGACTTTACTACAAGATGAACGGCCAGAACCGACCACTCATCAAACCGAAACGGCGCCTGGTAAGTACCTAAGCCGAATCACTTTATTTACTTATATATTTATTTCTCGACTGCCTGTCGAGAGTCGGAGTTGGGCGTTTTTTCGATGAAAAGGACAATCGAAGGAATTGGTCGAGTTTCGGGTTGCCGGAAAAGATTTTTTGGGGATGTAGAAGTTATTAGATACTGATGGAAAAGTTGTTAAAAACTTTTGTAGTGAGTAATTATGAAGCTTACTGTTTTATGTGAATTTTGTAATAAATAATTTCGAAGTTTGTGACCGTTTCATATGAATTATTAAAAAATTCAAAAATGTTTAATAATTCCAATGTTTTCAAAGTTTACGGTTGTCTTGTGTAAATTTTGTAAAATATAACTTCAAAGTTTACGGTTGTTTCATGTGAATTTTATGAAAAATCATTCCGAAGTTTACGATTATTTTGTACATATAGATTTTATGGAAAATGATTTGAAAATTTGCAATTGTTCTATATAACTCTTGTAAAAAATAATTTATAAGTTTACGTCTGTTTTTATATAACTTTCCCGTTATATGCAGGGTAAAGAATAATTCGAAACATTTTCGTTGCTCGCCAATTTTTATTATTGCCCTTTGATTCATTATTTTGAATTTTTTATTCGTTGTTCGGAGTGAAGTCTACCCGGCTGTGTCTCGTTCGTAAATTTATTCAAATAAGTATTCGTTTAAGCCTAGACCACTGAATTATATTATTTCATTAATATTTTTTAATACAATTTCAAA